CACATGTGCATATGAGTTTTCCATGTGTGCATATTCTGGGATCATAGCAGTTATAGTATAGAATATAAACTCTCGATTATGAACATGGAAATATAATAACACAATATTATTGCCTCTAGGGCATATTTCCAACAATCACCTATAATTTTCTTGCATGTAGAACTTCCCAAATAGGAATGCATGATTAGGGAAATATTTGTTGTATGTTGTAGACATGATACCTAGTAGCAAAGCTATAGGTTCTTTACCTTGTTCTTGTAACCTTAGGAAATGCTTAGCATGCTACAATGTAACGGGGTGGGAACTACACTAGTTTACATGTTACTATATTTGGATGGATACTTACTAGGAACTTAATTAATGAACCATCTTGGGGGATTGGCATTGATTGGGTCATCGAGTGTGAAATTGGTGGGGGCTGTCGCCCAGGTATCAAAGGGATTGTACGAGTTCCAAATTGAGTAGCATCCCTTTGTAATCGTAAGTGAATATGGGATATGTCTTGACCAACTAATTTGTGGGAACCTGGACCAATGGACCATCAGATGTAGTTAAATGGTTGGTTGGACTGGGTTCACCTGGTGGCATGGGCTACTGCTTCCCAAAAGTCTCATCCTGGTATACCTGGCTACTCTACAGATGAGCTTAGTAGCAGAAGCATGTGACTAGATCTCACGAGTAAAGTACACAAACCTCTGCGAAGTGTATAAAATTGATCATGATTAGTTGTGTCCTTGGTTATGGACAACTTTGAGCAACTTAGTCGAGAACTATCACCTTGATCTCATCACCTATTCTTAAATTTAAAACTTGATGGGTTGAACACGTGATAGGACTACCAGAGAGTGTACCTCTGTGTCCAAGACTATGACGCAGGTGTACCAGAAGTGTCTCGGTATGCTACCAATAGTTGGGGTTTACTAGTGTGTCATATGCATATAGTAGATCCCCCTGTATACAAAGATAGGACAAAACTACTATTGCTTTCTATAAAAAATCCTTAATCTCCACTTACCAAAACTACTAGGGCCTGAGTGCCATGATTTTAGATATGAACACTTTATGTTTTCATAAATGCGTGTGTGTGTGTGTGTGATTTGGATCTTTATCTACAGGTTATATACACCTGCTATAGTTCTGAACCCTAGACGTTGAAGTGACAATTATCATGGCATCGTTATATACACCTGCTATAGTTCTGAACCCTAGACGTTGAAGTGACAATTATCATGGCATCGACGGGGATGACTATGATTTGAGGATTACATGTACTCATTGATTGTTAATGATTTGCTCCAGTACTTTGTAGAAGGAGTACCTTAATTACCCATAATTTACATTGGGATCTCATTGAAACGACTGGTAGGACAAAAGATGTTATGCAAAATCTTACTACAAGCACGTACAAGTACATACTAAATACATGCCAACACATGATTGATGAATTGGGACTAGTTTGTTATCACGTTGAGTTACAGATATTACAACATGATTTCACCCATGCCTACGCTTCCCGTACTTGTTGCTTTCTTTAAGTCACTTTTGTTCTTGGCAACTGCTGAGAATTGTTTCTTACGTTGGTACTTTACAATCACCGCTCCGTTCACTTCATTGCTTTTGCTACTAATAAATGTTGCCAAGGAAGTATTTATTTTCAGGTGTGATCAAATTGACAACTCAAATGCTAAGGCTTATAAGTGTTCTTTGGCTCCCCATTTGTCGAATCAATAAATTTTGGGTTGTAATATTTCCCTTGAAGACTGTTGATCCCCTACACTTGTGAGATATCAAGACTATTTTTCAGCGCCCTTGTCGAGGAGCATAGCTCTATTCGTATAAGTTCACTTGGAGAGTTATTTGTCGTTGAATTTGTTATCCATCACCAGGGGGGAACAACCGGATCTCAAACCAGTGATCCTCCCATCTACTACAAGAAAATGTACTGCTCTATGTACTCAAGCTGCTTATGATTCACATGTTATTACCACATCTCCACCACCACATCCATGTACTTCACACTACTATGTCACATATAATTGATACTGCTTGTGCTTCTGATGAAAACTATGATGATACACTTGATGCTTCTAGTTTGTTTGATACTTTTGTTCCAGTTGGAGATCTTAGATGTTCATGTTGCTAAAGCTAAAGAGAGGGAAATGCTAAAAATCTTGAAACACCATCTGTTAGACCTACTAAAAGATACCTTCCCAATTTACCTACTACACTTGTATAACTTAATGAAGAATTCACTGGGGAATTCTTAGCTTATAATGATGCAGGTGGAATCGAACATCTTATTGAAATATTTAAGAACAATCAACTAAAAGATAACTTTTGTCTCGTTCCTAAGTTTGGTATTCTCCTATATACATACAGGATGATGCTTATGAATTCTTTGTTAATCCTACAATAATTACTTTGGTTGAATTTGATTCTTTCCATGGCTATGAAAATGAAAAAGCACTTGATGATACTATTACTGTTTTTTTAAGAAAAGTATGAACAAGAAATATTTAATGACTAAGTTTTTCCCTTTTTGATTGAAATATAATGGTAAGGAGTGGTATGATAGTTTAAAATCTGAGAGTTTCACTACTTCGTGGGATTTATTTACTACTTTCATAGATAAATAGTATCCTTTGCATATGAAGATTGGCAGCTTTTCATGCTATTCAAAATTTCACTCAACTTGAGGAAGAGACCCTCAAGCTTGGGGGAGCTTTCTGTATACTTGTAAGCAATGTTCCTAGCCATCCTCTTAAGGAAAATGAATTACTTGATATATTTTCTGATGGACTAACCTCTGAGTCCAAGACATACCTAGATAGTTGTGCAGGGAGTGTTTTCAGGGGAAAGTCATTAAAAGAAGCCATGGAATTATTGAAAATATAACAAAGAATAATGATGATTGGATTATCTCGAAACCTGAACCTAAACATTCACCTCTTTAAAAGAAGAGAGGTGTGCTTTTCTTATGTCGAGAAGATATGAAAGAAGCAAAGAAGTGCGCTAGGGAGAAAAGTATCAAGGCTGAAGAAGTTAAAATTTTACCTCCTATTGAAAAATTATGTGAGCCTATTACTCATAGTCCTATGGTTGAGGTACATTTTCTATATAAATTTGATGAAGGTGGTATTATTTATCCTAAACCTCCTGATTTATGCTTGATGAAATTGATAACATTGTGATTAAACAACATCAATCTAATATGGACATGCAAATGCAATTGAATATGGCTATTAAATATTTACAAGATCTTGAGAGAACCTCTCATGATGTTAAAGGTATTATTAAACATTGTGATATGATACAAGTTCAACTTAAACAAGTGATGAGTGCTCAACAAGATTTATTGCCTGATATGGCAAGATATGTTAGAAAGTCTGATGCTTATGTTTGTACTAGAGGAGGTTCTTTTACTCAAGAACCCTTGTATCCTAAAAGACATCCTAAGAGAGTAGAATTTTTGTTCTCAAAATACCGATAACAATGTTCCTCGCATGCGCTTAGATGCAGTGGCACTGCCTACTCTCCTTCCAACCATCTCGGGTGCTACTACCTTCGTTGATGATGAACCACAACAGTTGCGTGTTGCTACGAGTATTGCATGGGTGCTCACCAGTGCAACACTTACCAACACCAATGCCGAACATGCATTTGGGGATCTGTGCAGTAGTGTGTGTTTGTGGGCCCAAATGGAGACCGAGCTCCATGGAGGGCTTAATTTGAAAAGTTTAAAATTGAAAATTTTCAGTTTCAAAAAATTCTGAAAATAAATACGTACCTAGATGCATAATGTACATGTGTACAAATTTTCATCCTCAATGAGATACGCTAAAATGAGAGCAAAAGAAAAACATCTCAAGCTTTTCAGCATATGTACAGTTGATCCTCAAAGTCCGTGACTCTTTTTTTGCAGCTCGCAATTTAAGGTGTTTCATCCTGAATTTTTTCACACACATTACATCCTTGAATACATGTGTACTTCTTTTCAGCATTTTCTAAAAATAAACTCTTTGAATTTTGAATCTTTCAAAATAAAGGCCTTCATGGTGCTTGGCTTTCTTAATGTCCTTGCTCGTATTTGTGTGTACTTTCTGTTCACAATACTATAGTGCGGACCCGCAACAACTACATTGTCTCACATTTACTCTATTCATTCATTTGCTCATTTGCAACAGTTACCCATCCTACGGTTAGGGTTTAGGGTTCCTAAACCTAATCACATTTACTGAACTTATTGCAGGTACGTTTGAATCATACAGTTTGATATCCCTTGGAAGACAGACACAGGCAGTTAATACTCTTGGCAATTTATTCTCTTCATGAGTGAGAGGATTCCTAACTCTAGTAATAGGTACTGTTACGCAATACCTTAAAATATTACTGTCCAGAACTGTGGGAAAATGTTGTACACTAAACTATCTGAATTCTTGCGGTGCAATTACCCTCGAATGGCATTGAAAAATATGCAAAACATGTGAATTTCAGGAATTATCAAACATAAACAGCTGCTTGAAACAAATTTTAACTAAATGCACAGCCTCGACGTATAAAATTGAGTATTTTTATTTTCAACTACTACTACTTGGTATCTTTCCAACCAAAACACAAACTGAAGTGACCTTTATTTCAGTATGGCAGAAAGGAATGCAATGCACACTTCTCCAGATTGCCAGCTTATTTGTGATGCAACTAACTCGTCCCACAGTTACAAATTTCCCTCTCCCTGTCACTCCACAATCCACAGTTCCACTTAAATGTAGAACGGTATAGTTTTCTCCTCTTGCTGTTTCATCTTATCCACCTATATGTACTGTACATACCCCGCAGCAGAGCTTTTGCTTGCAACCGCGGGGTGAATGCTATCTAGACTGGGACTGGGGCTCTCAATCAAGCCATGCATTTGCAGCCTACTGGACCCGAATATGGTGACAAAATCATAATTACTGCTTATTCACACTTGATGGATGACAACCCCGGGGTAGATGTGCGGTTCACCGATATAAAGATATTTCATAGGGTACATGGTTGCTCGCTGTCTCCTGATGTGAAGGGATTACAAGCCTTTGCAATGTCTTCAGGTAGCTAGTTAATTGGATGAAAGAAGGACGCAAGTTTGGATCCCTGGCAAATGAAAATGATGGTAGAGAAACACATGTAAGTTTGCATGTAAAGATTTTTCTTTAAAGAGAAGAACTTAGCTTATACTGAGAAAACTTACTTCTGCCAGCAATCACGTATAATTGATGCAACTATAGGATCAACTTCTTTTGGAATGTCAAGCCGTCGGTCCTGGAAGCCAACTGCGCCCACAACTTGCATTTGGTTCATCCCATGCCATGGCTTTCTTAGTGTTGCTAGCTCCCACAGGATAACACCAAAGCTGTAAATATCACACCTGGAAAACTTTGAAGAATGAGTGTAGTTATAAATGTGATGTTTGCAGTGTGCAAAGAGAAATAATGGCCAGTGTAGATATTAAGCTGAACTTCACACATATCCGAGTTCTAACACATATAATAGCAGTTCTTATTCATACAGTTACTTCA